AACAATCACTATGAGACAATTTTTACGTTACTGTCGCAAGAAAAATAATTGACTTCCCTCGTGAGAATGTATTTCAACTTTTTATGTATCGCTGTATGTATGATTAATATGGACCACCACCACGAGATATATATATATATATATATACGTCAAAGTTTTACGTAAAAGGCGCCTTAAATTGTATCGCGAAAAAGAGAAACTAAGAAAATTAAAAATTAAGATATAAATCAGTACGAATTGATCCTTCTCTTTTCTAATAATTTGACAGTTTTTATAAATTTGATATATGATTTTCGATTTATAATTTTGATATTTATTATAACGTGCGGAATAAATCTAAATGAAATTTTAAATAAAATTTTAAGTAGAAAATGGAGCAGAATAAGATGAATTTTCGGTGAATGATCTCCTCGAAAATTCACATTTCGATAAAATCATTTGTAATTCATCGAAATAATAAAATTGCGCAACGAACCACGGGGAAAACCGTGGACTCGTTACGGTGTATTGGCGCTGCTATCAAACGTGAATGCTATTCGCCTGGAAATTCAATCAGTTTAAACCAAATGGCGAGTAGGTTTCCGGTGAATTCAAGTTAATGAAATGTTCCGACACTATCGGAAAATTTAATAGAGTGCACGACCTCCTAAGGCAATCTCACGACTGGCGTTTGTTGTAAACGCATCTATTTTTCGCGCAACCCCGTGGATTCATTATCAAAGTGTGGTAGTTGCCCGTTACAATCTCGATAATTGCTGATCGATTGTTCCAATTTCATTGGTTTCGCGGGTTACCATAAACGTGACACCTCGCATATTCTCTCAGTCGTTCGCGTACCATAATTCTCTTGAAACTTATATTTAACACGTAATTCAATACTGCAATTACGCTGTATCGTCGATGACAGAGAGAGAGAGAGAGAGAGAGAGAGAGAGAGAGCGCATGTCTATATTGAAACATTATTAATAATTGAAAACTATTTTAAGAATTAAGAGATCTATCAAAAGAGAAAATTCATAGAAAAAATTTCTAGATAAATTATCGAAATCTTATCATAAAATCCCGCAAAAGTAAAGATTTTTACTTTCGTGTTTGCCATTACATACATTTGTCAGCGGGAAAAGTAAGTATTTTCCTTCAATATAAGATCATCTATGAAAGCAACATTTTAACGAAATCTTTTTCCACGTTGCCGTTTTTCAGACGTACATACGAAAGGCCCGACATCCTGCGGAAAAACCTGCAGCTCAAAGTCCATGAAGTCCCGGAGCAGAAAATTACGGAAAATGGAGACTGCGGGAAATTCTGAGATAGAGATGGAAGTGTACCAGAGGAGTAACCGGCGTTTATCGCTCAGGTGTTGACTTTGCGTCTGTCAAAAACGATGAAAAAAGGCTACGGACGCTCTAACGAGTGCGGACCATGATACATTATTTAACCAGATGATAAATAGCGACCACTGAAGACGGAAAATATACTGTTGCCGTGATGGAGGCTCACGTCGATCAAGCCGCAAACGCAACCGTGGAAAATCCAGCCTTCATCGATGTACCAATCATCTTGAGAGCTATCGTGCTTTGTCTCCTTATACTCATCACTATCGTAGGTAAGTCTACCATTTTCTCTTCCGTTTCATTCGATTTTTATTTTCGTGAAGAGAAAATCGTAACGTTCTTAACAGTAAATAAAAAAATGTCAGCCATTGCAATCTGATATTAATAATTATAATATTAATATTAACGAAAAGAAACTTTATTTATTCGCTTCTTCAATCAGATTTAGTTCAGATTTGCATAATTAAATGGTTGTTATATTATTGTGAAGAAAATAAGATTTTATATGTTTTCGAAAGAATTTAAAGTATTTTTTATATTTAAAAAATATATCGGTTATATCAAAATTTCTTAGTACGTTGTTATTTAAAAGCGATATAAATAAAATATCCATATCGCATACGTACATACAAATATATTCATATCTATTCAGGGGCTTTTGCGTTTGCTTGCGTATTGAATATTGATACGCGAGTCAATATGTTGAAATTGAGAAAGATAGCTCGTATTTCAAGAATAATATATAGCCGCGCGTTTTTCACGTTTTTAAAAGCGATTTCATAAAAAGTTTATGACACATGTCAATTCGAAGGCGGGACCCTTCAGGACCCTTTTCATATCCCGGAAACGAGACCCTTAAGAATTTTTATGGACACGGTTTCTTGCTCGCAACTGATTATCCCATACACGTAAAGCACGATGGAAAACGAGAACGCAAACCATAATTGAATAAATAATACGCCGCGAGCTTTCCCATTTTGCGATGCCGCGAATATACATTACATTACGTGATATTTTAAACTTTGTTTTTTAATTCAATAAATGCGCCGACTCACTCTTCCGGATAAAATACTCATAACGTGAGACGATATTTTTTCACAGACTGTGCCCGCACGAATTGTATTATAAAACCACGCAACTTCTGTGTGTAACACGCGTTATTTAACGCGCTTTCTGATAACAAGAGATTTGAAATGTTAAATATTATATTAAAATTACGCGGCAAAATGTGAGAGAGACACTAAGTTATATGAAATGTACTTTTCTTTTAACGTGCAACTTTACTCGTTTCTTTACGTTTCACGTTTTATATACTGGTCATTTAAACCGATCAAAATGTCATTGAGCCTCTTAACGATTATGAGATGTCAGTCTGAATCTCAAGTTAGTTTACGAGCCATTCGAAGTGGGACTTCGAAAGTAATAAGCTGACGCACAAATATTGTATTTAATTATTTAAATTGCTATTTTAAATTGATTTATTTTTAAAGGTTTCTGTTGAACATCGTAAATACCATAAACTTGTCATATTGAATAAAGATCGTACAATTGCACAAAAGTTGATAAATTGAAAAAAATAATTTGTTGAATAAATTTAAAGGTTATCTTTAGTACAAAGTTATGTGCGTAAATCTGATATTACAAAAAAATCTCCATTTTATAATTTCTTTTTTTTTTGTTATAATTTCTATATTATAAAAGCTATTATACGATTATACATATTTTTTATTGTATTTTATTTCATACATATTTATACATAAATCAAACTATTTAAAAGTTAAATGTTTGATTAATTAACAGCGACTAAGATGAATATTTTGGTTAAAGACATTTTTATGAATAGATAATTTCGTCAGCACCATCAAATTTGCATATAATGGATCGGTCCGTTGGAGCTAAAATAAATCTAAAAAAAAAAAAAATTGAAAAGATCCAATGCCTTAATTCAAAGACAATTAGGTCGATTTATCTTTCGTTCTCTCTACTCGAGGATTCTCGGTAATTAATGAAAATTACCGGCCCGAATTCGGCCGACGTTTCCTTTTGCATACCAAATTTCCGGTTCAACGATGTCCACGGCGCAATAGATCTCGCGTCGCCTCGATTAATCGTACTTCTTGCGATAATTATATGCTGTCAGGCGCCAGATAACTTCAGCACCCCTCCGATCATCGATGATGGCTTCGCGAAGGCGCGACCACCCGTCGGCGAGAACAATAGCAAAGATTGCTCGAGAGAGAACTGACACATCTTCGGGGCGTATAATATATCACCGGGTGACGGTGACGGTAATCATGATATCTAGTCGCGTACTTTGCATGAACGGGGGTTTTCCGCTAGATACAAGCGAGCCGCGACGCTTGTATTCAACTACAACCCTTTCCTATCCCTCGTCCTCGTTCTTTCCCTCCCGAATTCTCTTCAACAACGCCGAGAATAATGGAACACGTTTTAATACCGAAATCTCTGATCGATCATTATCGACGCTAAAGATATTTTAATGTGAGCATAATACGTGATAAATGACTTTTGGCTTCGGTCGGTATTTGTCGAAAACATGTCCACAACCAGCGATTATGATTAATATTTCTTTAATCGTTATGTATGGCGTTTCATAAAATTATAACAGGAAATAAATACACGTAGAGTAAGTACACGTTATTTTTTTATGAAATTAGTAAAATCTTGGTTCTTATTTAATTTAGTTCTTAGCAATTTAGGGGGCTATTTATTTAAATAGTCAATTCTGAATGCACATTGCACATACTTGTGAAAATTGTTTATTATTTAATGATGTTGTAATTAATTATTAATTTATTATAGCTTATAATTAATATCTATGCATATATTCGATAATGAATGTGTGTAAAACTGGCGTATTATTTTATAGAAATTTATTAATTATTGAGAGTTTTGATTACATTTTTAATAATTTTATAGTTCTATGTAAGTTCTATATAAATTCTATATAGTTCTATATAGTTCTATATAAATTAGACAACTAATTATAGTCATTAAAATTGTCCCAAGATAAATTATGATGCTAGATTTATGCAGCGTCAGCTCTTTTAATATTCCTTGCCAGATTTTAATATATTTATAGATCTATATTTATAGTTCTAAAAACAATTTTAGCAATATTATTTTTTTTATTTTTTAAATGATTTTTATTATCCGAAAAAACGTATCTTTAAATATACATTTATTGATTGAATATATAGGTTGATTTTTAAAATATCTCTATATTATACAAACGATTTATTATGCAATTTTAAATGTATATAGATGTTTCTGGAAATTAATATTGTTTTTTTTATTTTATAAATAATTTTTGTCATCCGAGGAAGATGTTCGTAGGGGTATCTTGCTCAGACGATAAAAATTTTTTATAAAACAAAGAAACAATTCAGTCGCCAGAATTTTTTCAGAAATGTTTAAACATTCAACATTTTATAATAAATATTTTATGACAAACAGAAAACTTAAAAATCGGTCAGCGTTTTATCTATAGCGTATTATCTACGCTTTTTTCGAGACAAAAATTATTTAAAAGATAAACAACCAAACGTCAGAACTCTTCCTAAAACTTATGTGAAATAAGTTTGTTGAAATTCTTCAACTTTCCAATTTTCCAATTTTTTGGATAAAAGAACTCACACGGAACAAAGTGGAACACAGTGTGAATCTGGTATTTCAGTTTGACCTGAAACAATTTTTGCGCTTTAATTAAAACTATTAATCTAATTTACAATTATAAAACTGTGGAGTTATTCAGAAAAATTGAAATTAAAATTCTCAATAAGTTTTTATAAAATGATATCTTTATTCACATAATTCACACGTGTCGATGTCCCATTTTAATCTAAATATAAAAAATTTTCCATATCATAATCAACTGCATTTATTCGCAAGCCTGATTTCGTGTTAATGCCATTCGCTACTAAGTCTCACAGAATAAATCCGCGAACATCTTCGGGTTCCCTACGGATGCGTATATCTCTCTCGGAAGAGATACAGATAAAAGTTGTCGGAAAACAGGTAAGTTTATCGCTCCGCTGTAACATCGTGGGTGGATGGCGATGTAACCAAGGGGGATGCGAAAGAGATCCGCCGGCAGCTGTTGTGTATATCCACACACACACACACACACACACACGTACGCGTCCCCAGCGACTTGACAAGGCTTGGAGAGCATTCCAATATTAGTATAGTTCACTGGCTAACTAACAGTTCGTTGAACATGACGTCAGCTGCCGTGGATACGCGATACGCGTCTGCTCTTTCTCTTTCTCTCCCGGTGTAGGGGAGAAATTTTATAAACGCTTGGCGAGGCACAAAACCGTGAATATCGTTGCGCAAATGTGAATTAAATAATCCTCCTCCTTCTTTCCCCTTCCCTCGTCTCGCGGTAATCATCGCAAATCGAGCGAAACTTCTCGAATGCAGCGCTCCGCATCAACCACATTCGTTCATCTCTCTTCGAGGCTATGGACGTCCGGAGCGCGTGATTTAGCGCAAAGTTTCACATTCGCCATCAGTGCGCACGTAGAAGTAATTAACTGCAATCGGACGAAAGCGCAGAATCAGAGGCAACAATTATTTGTGCGAGTTCTAACGAAGAAAATGATGACAAAAATTCGTTTCAAATATTCCTTTCCAAACATAAATCAAAAATTAATTGAAAAGAATAATAAAAAAAAAAAACTAGAATATTTTAGATATAATATGAAATTATTTATTTTTGTTAATGTTTACAGGAAAAATGTAAAATTACTCATTATATAACATAGGGAAGCGTACTCGTATATCAATAATATTATATACGTCATGTGGAATATAGCGGATATTTTTTGTTTCTGAAAGTAAGAGTTTCCTTCAAATCATAAAGTCAAGAAATTTATTCGATATAATACGCGATAAGAGAAAAATCAAGCGTTTAATTAAATTATATTGTCTTAATTAAATTACTAACGTTAAACTTTTTTTTAAAGAAAAAAAACGAACTTTATTACACATAGATGGTTTTTGTTATTTATATTTGTGAAAGAAAACATTTCTTGACATGTATACAGGATGTTGACAGGTGTCTCGTTTGTTCGTAAAAAAAAAAAAAAAAAAAATGCAAACCGATAGGTTAGACCGCCGACGCGAACTGAATGTGTTACTACCTTGTCCTTCGATTCTATAAAGGTTAAACGATGCGATGCGAACACACACCTTGCACGAAGACGTAATCAGACATTTCCGATAGTTATCGTCTCGGGAAAGCGGG